TTGCAGTTGTGAATATGTGAACGTTTATTCTTGTATTATTGTTTATTAATTATTGTACAGTAGGTCCTCGGAGATCCGTTCCTACAGCAAGACGTAACGCCATTTTCGCCATAAGTCGGAACCCACCTACGTAAGCACCTACGTCACTCACATGGAGCACATTACACAGCAGTAAAGAAGTGAAACAGTAAAAAAAATTTAAAAGAAAGATAACAATTCCTGACCTTTACTTGTGGTAAATAAACAATAAAAAACATAAAGCACATATGTACATATGTCAAAATGACAGATTTTTTTTTAAAAATAAATACTGTAAATGGGAGATGGCGACGTAACCACAAAATGATGTATGTTGAGTCCGACGTAACCCGAGGACTGCCTGTATTATTTTCCATGCAAACAACTGTAAACCTACTTTTGCTCCACCCTGTAAAACCAGAAGTAAAGACAATTTTAAATGTAGTTTTTTCCATTTGACTATTAATTACTCCTCTCTTGATTTGTAACATTGAACTTCTGGAAACAGGACCTAAGATTTTATAGGAACCTTAGTCAATAATAGAGACTAGAAAAAAAGCACATTTATCCTCATTCTGCAATCCCTTGAAGATTACAAAGATGAGTGAAGGTAACTCATGAGGGAACTGTAATCTGTTCTTGGGTAGGAAATAGCAAGACTCGGGATACTTTGGCCAGTTCTGATCTATGACCTGATCTAAGTCTTTCTGTTAGATTTCACCCTGGTTAAGAGGAAACAGTTTTCCCCCTAAACATGCAGTCAGTTTACCTGAGTATTGGTGGTATAGTCCATTTGTACCATGTCATATTTTCCAGGCACCTTCTTAAACTTCTCACGATCCTCCCAATTGTTTTTTGTTTTGTCAAGGAATCTGTAGAGTCCAAGGTGGTGAGAAAAATCTTACAAATAAGGGTCTATTAGTAGGGATGGGCTTACAATTGTTTCCTTAGAATATCTCCAAACTTTATTTCCCACAACAGAGCTTTCTTACACATCAACTTTCCATAAATCTGGATTCTAAATTAGAGCCCTGAATAAACAGTAAGGTTCTGGGTATAAAGGGAACAAAAAAATGAGGGGAAACAGACCTTTGGGCTTCCCAAAGCCTTGGAACACCACACAAGCCATTGGAAGTTTAAGACAAAAAGATCCCTATCCAACCCCTTCCTCTGAAGGAAACGTTTCTAGAGACTCCAGAAAAGTTCTTCATCCATTCATAGGAAAAGTATTTTTTAAACTCTAGCTATATATTCTCATCCCACTTTTCCCAAATTTCCTAAGTTGTTGATCATGTGCTAAATTATATTAGATCTTCTATTTTTAGTTAATTTCAAGGTTCCAGGTGATGTAATCACTAACTAAGGATGCAGTTTGGTGTTCTAGTCACAGCATGTTATAGTGGAAAGACATTAACATTTAGGCCAAATCACATTTATAAAATTCTTAAAGAAGATACATCCAAGAAGAAGAAGGGTATATTTTTACACTCATTTCTTAGTACTCACTTCTTCTGAAAGATTTCCTTGGCCTTGTTGAGGTCCCCTGAACAAACCACCAAGCTGTGCTGCCCCACTTTCCCAACTGCAAAGTAAATGCCACGTATAAGATCGGAAACCTAACCCAAGAAGAGCTCTCTAATAGTAACAAGCCAGTTGTCTAAGGTCTGGTTAGCTTCCAACAAATGGACAGGAAAAAGTGAAAGGGCTTAGGGAATATATCTTGTTGCTATTAGTTACCTCCTACTAACTGCCATAGTTCATGAGCAGCACTATGAGAGTTCTGTCTCTCAACAGGCTGCTCGTAGTTTTTCCAATGAGAACTTCCTACCGAAAATGCCTGCCACTGCGCAATTACAGAAAGCACAATCCGACTCCTAAGCCCCGCCCCAAGTTACAGAGCCTCCCTTCCACCGATTTAAGCTTAGAGGATCCTTGGCCACTCACTAAGTTGCTTCTGGCTTTCTAAATGACAACTCAGAAAATGCATAATAAGTCATTACCTCGGCCCCATCTCATCCAAACACTGAAGTTCCTCTGAGCATCATCTTCTAACAGCTGAATCAGATAGTACTTGTTGTTGTTGAACTGGAGATTGGTCTATGATGAGTGAGACAAACAGAAACATAAAATAACAGGCTTGCAAATAGAAGAAGCATAAACCAACGACTCTTCCTTGGTCAGAGGTGCCAGTAATTGCCATAAGGAAAAGAACAGCATGGGGCAAGGCAATCAGATTCCTGTAAGAGTGAAGATTTAAGGAAGGATTAGGTTCTACATTAAACTTTGAATTTCTAGGAATTAATAATGGAGCCTGGAAGCTTCCTCAAACTTTCTACCCTGTAGGGCGCGGCTATAGGGTTAAGCCTCGGATTGACCTGTTGGCAAAGCCACAAACAAGTCCCAGCTTAGAGGGCACAGTCCTCTTAGCATAATTAGGCTTGACCTTATGACGCTTTCTAGATCTTATCTGGGAAGCTAATGGGCTGAGGGAGAAGTAGCAAGTGCTGCCAAAACAAGTGAAACTCACAAGGACATTGTAACTATGGTGACCACTACCTTGTTTACCTCTGGCTATAAACTAAAGGCTCAGCTTGCCTCTGGATCTCTCTGTGTGGCCTCTGCAAGGCACAGGAAGATCCACCTAGACCCAGCTTATTCTCTTTGTCTGTCATTTCTTCATCCTTCACCGCCCTCCCTCAGGCTTTCGAACCTGTGGCTGAGCTGGCTCGGCACACTACCCAATCTCAAATGTGTTTTCCAGCTCCCAATCCATTCTCAATAATTATTTTTCAAATGAAGACAATTTTGATGCCTCAAAGATCCATAACTATTATGCTTATTTGTTTAGACAATTTACTGCTTAATAGCTTTAATTAAGGTTTGTTTTGTCAACTGCAGCGATTTGACAATGAGCTGAGAGCAGGACAATGTTAGGAAGGGATAGAGGACAGGCAGAAACCACTGCCACATCAGTCCCTGGCATGACTTGGAGACATTCAGAGAGAATGTGACTAGAATCTTAAAAGAGGTATACGGTAAGTAACTTACTCAGAGTGAAGGGAGGGAGTAGTCCATGATAAGGAATAGTAGTTTGTGTGATAAGGTTGAGTCCTGGTTATCCAGGCACTCTTTTTATTAAGTGTCTGCCCCTTCCTATCTTATACTTATTCACACTGTAAACTCATAGGGTGTTAGAACAAAAAGGAGCTGTAAGATGCTCATATTTCATGTAAAAGAAGTAGTAACAAAGGACTACTAGGTAGCCGTTAAAATTATATGTGATGGGTGTATAAGTTCAAATATGAAGATATATAATTAGGATATATATTTTAACCAGGCAAATGTATTATCTATTCAAAACAACAAAAATAAACAAAGAGGAAAAGGTTAATAAGAAAAAAATTCATAAATTTAACATAAAAATGTAAACTTCAATAAGGGCAAAAAGTATACCAGAAAGAAAATCAAAAGGCAAATGACAAATTTGAAAAACATATAGGCAATTTATACTACAGACCAGTGATTTTCAAATGGTGTGCCTCAAAAATTTTTAAAACATGCAATACTTGACTATGTAGTCAGGGGCACTGACTTCTTTTCCCTTTGATTGCCAAATAAAACAATGACAACAGCCAACACAATAGCTGTCCGATGTGAATGAATCAAATTAATACCTATTTCTTTTGTCAGGTGGACAAAAAATTTATTTTTTGGTGTGCCACTGAATTTCAGTAATTAGTTTATGTGCTAGGAGGTTAAAAAGGTTGAAAATTGCTGTTACAGATGAAACACTATTCTCATATTATATAAAGTTCCTCGTAGCCAGTAAGAAAAAGACCAACAACCTGTCGGGAAATGTGCAAAATGATATGAACAGAGAGTTCATAGGTGCAATAAAAGACAAGAAATCTGCAAAAAAATCTGCTTGTTATCGAGGACTCCGCTATCAGGTAGACTTTACTACAGAGCATGTGCCCAACATAAGGGACCCCAGAATTAATGATCTGGGCTTTGTAACACTGTCATCAATAGCTGTCAAGAAGAAATTCCCATAAATAGAATGGCTTCTCCCCTTACCTGATTTAACATGACATCATACACATCATTCCCTTCACAGTAGATATGGGCCTAGAGAGAAAAGAAAAAACTGACATTTGTATAGTCTTGATGAGATCCTAAGTGAGGCCTTACGCCTCAACGGGTCATTCTCCAGCACTACCAACATCCATCTTCCAGGGAAAGAAATGCAAAAGTATCTTCTTTCACACATAAGCTGTCATTCCTATAATAAAAACTGGGGTGGCTCAGTGGCTGAGGGTCGACCCATGAACCAAGAGGCCACTTATTCAATTCCCAGTCAGGGCACATGCCCAGGATTGCATGCTCGATCCCCCGCAGATCCCCAGTAGGGGCTATGAAGGAGGTAGTTGGTTGATGTTTCTCTCTCTATCCCTCTCCCCTCCTCTCTAAAATCAATAAAAACATATTTTTTAAACAAACAAACAAACATGATGCCTTTCTATAATTACAGAAATACAATACCAATGATTCTCAGTTAAAGAAAACCTATTCTCAGTAATTCATGCCATACCAGGGCATAGTTTCTCATTTTTTCCCTTGATAATGATATAATTTTCTAACTGAAAAAAGAGAATGATGTATGGAAAGCTGATGACAGCCCCATAAGTTAACCAGGTTACAAACACCCTGATTATTAATCCTTAACACCACCACTGCCATCATTTAGCCTTGCAGAAAATGAATCACTAGTAATATTTTGGCGAGGATTCGTGAAATAAATATTAGCAATGTTCCAGTGAGAATCCCAACAACAACAGAACACTGCTCTCTGAGAAATCAATGGGTTGAGGAGTCTCTCACCTTCCCCACCTTTAGGGTGCACTCTGGGTCCACGGGAGCTTTGCCCTTTAACAGCAAGGTCTTCACAGACTCTGAGGAAAGACAGGCACGTACTATGTCTACTTGTATGGGAATCAAACTGGTTAGAAAGAAACTTGTCATAATTAACTTTGCCCTTCCCAGGCAGTCCTGATCTGCTCAAGCCTCAATCCGTTTCAAATCATGAAACTGAAGGTTCCAAGAAAATGGTAAACCCAGAAAGAAAGTTACTGTGCGTTGGAGAAATGAGAGCTGAAAGAGCAGACTATCCTCCACGTTTACCCCTCCCAGGGACCTCCTTGCTGGCCCATGTCCTCCCTGGCCTACCACACCAGGCGGACCTTGCTTGTCTTCCGTTCGGTCCTCATCAGCCGTTCCTCCAGGCACAGGCTCCTTTTTCACCTCCTGCCTCTGGCATCTTCGAGTTTTCTTGGCAGGAGGAGAGTCTTCTGTATTGTCGGTTCCATTTGATGCTTTAGAAGCTAACGGCAAGAATGGGCAGACAAAGAAGCAAAACAAAGAATGAGTGTACAGTGGATATAATCCTACTTTGAAAAAGCACCGCCTTTTTAAGGAAATGGTTTAGGGTGGTTTTGTAAGGTTACAAAGAAACAATAACAACTGTTGATAATAGTCTGAGTAATGGCCTCCGAAATTGCTATTCTGGCCAAATAAAAAAGTAAAATAAAGTAAAAGGCTCTTTGCAGCTGCAGCGGAGCTCCATCCTGCCCACTCCTGCTCCTTACTCACCACTATTTGCTCTAACAGAGGAACAAGTCAGTCAGGAAACCCCAGCGCAGCCGTGGCTTTTAAAGATTCCAGAAAAAAATAAAGATTCCAGAAAGACACCCGTGGAACCAGAGGGGGCTGTGATTCACCGAATTAGAATTACTCTCTAACCCGACCCAAGGTAACGTCTTTGGAACAGGTGTGTGCTGACTTGATCAGAAGTGCAAAGGAAAAGAATCTCAAAGTGAAAGGACCAGCGGAGATGCCTACCAAAACACTGAGAATCACAAGAAAACCTCCCTGTGGGAGGGTTCTAAGATTTGGGATGGTTTCAGGTGAGGACCCACAGGGGACTCACGGACTTGCACAGCCCTTCTGAGATTGTTGAGCAGATTACTGCCTTCAGTATTGAAGCAGGAGTCCTTGAGCCGTTGCAGATGCTTAAATCAACCTTTTAAATAATTGACTAGCAGTTGTTAAAAAAAAAAAAAAAAGTACAAGGGAGCCATGGGACTCTTGTGAGTTCATAGGCTGAGGCATGAGTCTCATAGCTTATCTGTTCTGTTTACTTGTGCCCCACCCCCCACCCTCCACCTATCACTAAAATACCTGTGGTGGAATGAGGAAACGTGAGTAAAGCGCTTTGGAGTCTGTGTGAGCTTAGAGCCCGGCTCTGACTCTTAGCTGCGGAACCTTGCAGAAGTTATCTCATCAGTTGCCCCAACTGTAAAATCCGCAGGATGACAATAATACCGCATCTGTTGGACCGGGACTATGCATTTGATATGTAACACAGAGAATAAAGATCTCATCAATTCTAAGACTTGCATTTTACCAATTCTGCAACCCGGATGCATCTCACCATGGATGACACATGAACCATGAATCATGTTTTAACTGGAAGCGTTTTCCCCTTCTTACTGTTACATAAAATAATGATGCATCTTACAATTAAATTTGTTTTGATTGGATGACATTAGACATATATACACTAGAGCTGGCACTTTGTTAGGTCCACAATTCTATAATTAAAAAGCTCCGAAAACCGAAATCTTGTAAGTTTACTACCAAAACTAGTTTGGCAGCCAAGTGCGGGACAGGGGGCGACGGGAGGGGGCGGGGCTGGAGTAGGAGGCGCCGTTCTGTTCCCGACTTCCCGCCCCCCAGCATTCCGCCCCCCAACAATGATCTCCGAACCTGACGCCCGACTGCGCCGGCCGCTGGTCCCCATCAGCCGCCGCCGCGCCGCCATCGAGCCTGACTGTTGACGTCACCTGCCCTCTCCCAGGATTCGCTCGGCTGGAGTCAAAAGGCGGGAACACGCAGCGCGAGCGCGCGTCCAGGAGAGAAGTTGCCCGCAGGGACAGAGGAGGCACGCCCGTCAAATTTGCATGTCGCTATGCGTTGTGGGAAGTCACCCTAACCGTAAAAGGACTACACATAAGGGGGCCTTATATATCCGCCGTCTACGCCTCCTTCTCCCAAGGGCGGAGGGAAGCTCATTGGTGGGGCTACGCGCTGAGTGCACCTCGTCACTCTACCCCATGTCCCCTGGGAAGGTCTGAGACTGGGGCCAAGAGCGGCCCTAACAGGGCCCTCCCTGAGCAGCGGGGAGGTGAGTTCCCAGAGAACGGGTCTCCGCGCGAGGGCAGACTGGGCAGGAGATGCCACGGACCCCGCCCTCGGGAGGGGCCTGGCGGATGCCTCCTCAAGCGGAGCTTGGAACAGACTCACGGCCAGCAAAGTGAGTTCAATGGCTGAGGTGAGGCACTCCGCAAGGGGGCCTCATAACCCAATTCAGACTACTCTCCCGCCGTCCTCTTTTGCTGCAGAGGGCTTAAATGCTTGGATTTTTAGAATGGTATTTGGTGACATTAGGTCAGGAGCTCTTCAATGTTTGGGTGGAGCTTTCTTTGTGTATGCACAAATTCACTTACTCTTCATGAGGATAACAGCTAGATTATTTAATGCTTACTATATTAATTCTCACAACAGTATTATCCTCATTTTACATCTGTGAAAATTGATCTTTAGAGAAATTTCAGTGACTTATTAAATGTTATACCGTGTATTTGTTTGCGAGGGCTGTCATAAATAAGTGGGTGGCTCAAACAACAGAAATATGCCATCTCACTTGCCTTTACCTAAAGGCGGCTAGAAAGAAATCCAAGATAAAGGTGTCGGCAGAGTTTTTTTTTCTTCAAGATCTCTTTCTTTGGATGGTAGATGGCTTTCTTCTTCCTGTATTTTCCCGTGCATGGGCTTCCCTTTGTGTGTGTGTCCTAGTCTGCTCTTTTTATAAGGACACTAGTGATATTGGATTACGGCCCACTTACATGACCTATTGCACTTTAATTACTTCTTTAAAGTCATTGCCTCCAAATACAGTCTTATTCTGAGGTACTGGGGGTTAAAACTTCACCGTATGCATGGGGGGTGGGGGTGGGGTGGGGGTGGGGAGGGCACAATTCAGGCCATAACAAAGTGATTGATAATTTTCTTAGGTTTTATTTAGATAATGCAAGAAAACAGGAAAATAACTATTCTTAAAGAAGAAAATTAAAGAATTTGAGACAAAACCCTAAGGAAAGCTGCAGAGTGTTTAAAAGTTGAATGAAATGTGCTTAACATATAAAGAGCTGTCTCAAAGTCATAAGAAAAATCAAAACCTCTGTAGATAAGTGGACAAAAGGTATAAATAAACAGTTTGTATTATAAGCAAGCATATGGAAAAAATGTTCAGACTCACATGGGATAAAAATGCAAATTCATATTCCACAGAGCAACTGACCTACTCTCTTCAATAAGTTATTTTTTTTAAATATATTTTTATTGATTTTTTACAGAGAGGAAGGGAGAGAGATAGAGAGTTAGAAACATCGATGAGAGAGAAACATCGACCAGCTGCCTCCTGCATATCTCCCACTGGAGATGTGCCCGCAACCCAGGTACATGCCCTTGACCGGAATCGAACCTGGGACCTTTCAGTCCGCAGGCCGACGCTCTATCCACTGAGCCAAACCGGTTTCGGCAATAAGTTATTGTTATAAGAAAAAAATAATAAGGTAGGCACTTTTTTAGATTAAAAGAGACGTTTGAGTATAGCAACCAAATGCAGCGTTTGATATTTGGGTGCTGGTTTAAATAAGCCAGCAATAAAAGACCTTCTGAGGATATGTAGGTGTGGACTGAGTATTAGATGACTTTAGGGAATTACTTATTAGATGTGATAATGGTATTATAGTTAGGATTTAAAAATGCATGTGTGGCTCTGTGGTTGAGCATCCACCCATGAACCAGGAGGTCATGGTTCGATTCCGGTTGGGGCATAGGCCCCGGTTGCAGGCTGATCGCAGTGGAGGGCGTGTGGAAGGCAGCCGATCAATTATTCTCTCTTTCTATCTCTTCCTCTCCCTTCCTCTCTCTGGAATCAATAAAAACATATATATATATATATTTTTTTTTTTAAAAATGCATGCTATAGTATTTAGGGATAAAATGTCATTATATCTGGAATTTGCTTTAAAATACTTCAGTCAAAATGATCAAATAGGGCAAAATACAAATAATTGTTAAATTTAGTTAATAGGCCTATAGATATTCATTATATTCTTTTTCCTGTTTTTCTGTATGCTTATAATAGTCATAATAAATTTTAAAATACAACAAAAATGACAAATTAATCAAAATAAGTATAACTAAAGAGAATTAACTGTGCCAATGAAGACTTTTTGTCCTAATAAGTGAACGTTTTAAGTGGTATCACTGATTTTGATATGGTATTCCTAAGATTTATTTAAATTTCTCTTTTATCTGTATTCTAGAACAACATGTTAAAATGACAGGAAAATTGATGGATGACTACCTGCCATGACCTGCCCAGTTAGTGGTCACTGAGCTTGTCAGGCCTGCCTTGTGGCCCCATGAGCTTGTCAGGTTTATTCTATAGCTCCCTTTTCATTCACAATTTATAGAATGTAAATGTGAGTTTTACTGCTTAACCTTGTAGTTATTATATTCCTATGTTTTTAAGGAGCTTAAATCATTAGAAAAAAATCCAATATTTAAAATTTGTGATTGTAATTAATTATTTAAAATGTTTGAGTGTTTGTAATTTATAAAGCACATTAGAACAAGATACCATTTCCATGGATTTACCAGCACTACTCATATTGCTGTGGTGTCATATATTGGGTAATATATAATTAAGCATTTATCAAGTCCTAGTTTCAGCCAGGCCTGTAGAATAAATAGGCTGTCTTTGATCACACAATTATAGTACAGAGAGTATTATTTAACAAACAGTACAATCAGCATAGGAGGCTATGCAGACCGTTCCGGAGCCCAAAAGGATAAAGTTATGCTCTGCAAGCAACTTCAGAGCTCAAGCTGCAAAAATCCAAATTTTGGGCCACAATTTATGATACTGGTATTAAAGCTCTTACAAGTCCTCAATAGGTATTACTGGCACCATGCTAGAGAGGAGAAAATTGAGTCTCAGAGATTTTAAGAAATTTATTCCAGACTGTGCAGCTAGAAAGTATCCTGGAATATCTGTGTACAGCACCTTGAAATAGAGGTTTTCATTTGCTACTATAAGGTAGAAAAGAGTTTTCCTCATCCCCTTTAGGGCCCCTGGCTAGGCTTAAAAATTAAACTGACAAAGACAGATTAACAGGAGAAAAGCATACAAATTTTATTGAATTTTTACATGGACTTGGGAGACTTCACAAGAGAATGAAGATCCAAAGAAGTGTCTAGGACAGGAAAATTTTATACCTTCTTTCTAGACAATGGTAAGTTTGTAAAGAATTGACAAGTCAGCCAGTGTCAATTTGGCTCAGTGGATAGAGTATAGGCCTGAGGACCAAAGGGTCCCGGGTTTGATTCGGGTCAAGGGCACATACCTTGGTTGCAGGCTCCTGCCCGCCCGGGCCCTGGCCAGGGTTTGTGCAGGAGGCAACCAATCGATGTGTTTCTCTCACATTGATGTTTCTCTCTGTCTTTTCCTCTCTCTTCTAATCTCTCTAAAATCAATGGAAAAATAGCCTCGCAGGAGGATTTAAAATAATAATAATTAAAAAAAAGAATTGACAAGTCAAAGGTGTAGGAGCTAGGGGTAGTAAATGGTGAAAAAGTAACTAGAAAGGAAAGGGTTAGTTTAGCAAGGTTTGCTTATACAGCTAAATTTTATTTCAGAGCCTAGGCCTTTAACCACCCATCTTTTAACCACTAAGCGTGTTAACTTAAATGTTACCCGGAAGGTAAGTTCTAAGGTGAACAGATTTAGACTGTTTATAATGAAACCGTGCATAAATTAACCATGTTGACATCACAAAGGATAGGAAATTATCCTAAGTAGGGATGGGGAACTTCTGGCCTGTGAGTCGCATAAGGCCCCCTGAAATCATTTGGCCTGCCCTGCCAAGGCATTAGGGGTGAGTTAATGAAATGTTTGACCAAATATAGCAGGTTAATTTTTAAGGTGGTAATTTTGTATGGCCCACTACTGATGTTATAAATATCCACGTGGTCCTTGGCAGAAACAAGGTTCCCCACCCCTGATTCTAAAGGAATGAAAATTGATTGCAGTAGGCCCATCTAAACAAGAATATTTATTAGTAGTCTGAATTAGCCCGTGTTTGCTTGTGCTACCTACATGAACTCAAAAGGAAACTTGGTTTAAAAAGTTCACCCTAAAACAATTAAGGTAGCATTATTGGTCCATTAAGAGATAAGTTGGTGAAGGAGGGGTTTGTGGTATTTTAGTACCTTTTAAGGTAGAAGAGGAGGGCATCGGCCTTTAACTCGTTAGCCAATCAGGTTCTGAGGCCCCTTGTTAAAGCCACTTCCTGTCTCTCCACTTTCTCTCCTGTTGGTGACAGACTGGTAAGTGTGCTCTTATTTTGTCCCCTAATTGTTTTGAATATCTGTTCCATTTGGGCCATGTTTCCTGGTGGCAGGCCTTTATTTCAAGACAGAATTGGAGTATGTGTGTGTGAGGCATAAGGCGATTCAGTTGGGCTGTGGAGATGGGAGGAAGGCAGTGAAATGCTCTGCCTGGCTTGTTTCCACGTGGGCTTCTGCCGTCCTGGGTCTGTCTTCCTTCCCGAGACTGGTGACCTAGGAACAACAGACTTGGCTTTATGCACACAGTGCATGTGTTCCTGGAAAACACCTGGATTCATTTTACTTGAAGAAAAAGGTGTTGCTTTTAGCCTAGTGCTGGTTTGAATGTTATCTCCCTGGCTGAGAGGGTAGGTCTTGGGAGGAGTTCAGACCAGTACATTTTAATTCTTCTGTGTCTGCAGGGCCCGGGTCCTTACTGGGTTTGTGGGAGCTGCAGCGGATGTTGTCTTTGCCCAGAGCCTTCCAGTTTTCTTAGTGAGACTAAGCAGCAAACTCTGAAGTCAGATGATGTTAGTGAGCTCCAAGAGAGCTCCCAATTTTAATGTCCTCACGGTGGCGAGGGTGCCCTAAAAAGCTTAGGGTATACTAAAAAAGATCAGGGGCCTAGCTTGGTGTAAGCCTAAATCAAATTCGTGCCACACTTTACCATTCCAGTGACCTTTGTGAGTCAGTGAGGATCAGCTTTTATTTTATTTTTTTTAAATTGATTTTAGAGAGGAGAGGAGAGAGACCACAGTTGCTGTTCCACTCATTGGTTGATTCTTGTATGTGCCCTGACTAGGGATCGAACCCACAACCTTGACATATCCAGCTGACACTATGTAACCAACTGAACTACTCAGTCAGAGGCTCAGCGTTTGAGGATCAAAATATACGAAGGCCAGGCAGTAGTTGGTGTATAATAAATGTTAGGTAACTTTTAAAAGTAAGCGATACATTTTTTTTTTTTAGTATATCTTTTTCTCATAAAATGTTTTGCCTAGTGTCTTTGAGTATAATTTCACCTGATTCCCATTCTTCTCTTTAATATACATTAGTTTGAATAAAATGTATGTGTTTATTATCCTTACAGGCAAAAGGTGTAAGAAAGACACCTGTATGGAATTTTAATAATTCTCAAGCATTGTTAAATTAACGCTATTTTTTTGAATAGGTAATACATTTACATGGTTCAAAATTCAAAAGGATCAAAGTATATACAATGCAGTCCTAAGCCAGTTTATTCCCCTCATTCCCCTCCCCAATAACAGTGTTAGCAGTTTCTTATGTATCCTTCCTGAGATATTTTATGCAGATATATGTACTTTCCCTCCCCTCTTCTATATGCATACACTATCACATACCTTACTTTTTCAACTTAAGATTTCCAAATGACTAAGTATAGAGTGACTGCATTCTTTATAATGGTTACATAGTAATCGAATGTATGCGCATAACCATCATTTATTTAATCTTTTATAATTGGACATTTAAGTAGCTTTCAATGTTATTTCCTCCAAATTGAATGGCCTTATACATAACTCAGTTGTCACATCCGACATTTCAGTTCGGTTTTGCTATATACTTGTTTATAAGGACTCTCTATGCATGCTTTCTGTTAGTTATATTTATTCTGTGCACATAGCGATGACTAGAAACCAACACCATAAATATCTTGATTGAGCAATAAAGAATTTTCTATTAAAAGCAACACCAGCCCTAGCTGGTTTGGATCAGTGGATAGAGTGTTGGCCTGCGGATTGAAGGGTCCCAGGTTTGATTCCGGTCAAGGGCACATGCCCAGGTTGTGGGCTTGATCCCCAGTAGGGGGCAGCCAATCAATGGTTCTCTTTCATCATTGATGTTTCTAGCTCTCTCCCTCTCCCTCTCTGAAATCAATAAAAATATATTAAAAAAAAAAAAAAGCAACACCATACTGGTGGTTTTAATGTGAGTACATTTTTAAAGTCTTGAGAGAAGGCTAAGATCATGTCTTGTGAAACATCTACTTTTCCAGTCAGGCTTTGCTGATTGGGAGAAAAATTAGTTTATTTCCGTTGGAAGTATGCTTTTGTTCAGTAATTTTATATAGACTACACTGGAATCTTCACTGTTAAGTAGGGAATGAGGGAAAGGAAGAAGTAAATTTTTTCTTAAAATATGCCAAATCTTGGATTTGGAAGGGAACTTATGAGCATATCAGTGACTTTCTTAGCTTCACGATTGTTATGAAAAGTGAAATTTTTAGGCAGAATATCTGCATTTCTATTCATTAAGGTGGTTGAGTTTGGACACTTTATAGAAACAACATATTAAACATTAAAATATTTTATATTTTGCCTCATTCTTTACAACAGTTATAAGAGGTAGGCGGTATTTGTCCTCATTGTACAGAAAGGGAATCTGAGGCCTGGCCGATGTGGCTCAGTTGAGCATCGACCTATGAACCAGGAGGTCACGGTTCAATTCCTGGTCAGAGCACATGCCGGGGTTGCGGGTTCGATCCCCAGTAATGACGTGCAGGAGGCAGCCGATTGGTGATTCTCATCACTGATGTTTATATCTCTCCCTCTCCCTTCCTCTCTGAAATCAATAAAAATATATTTAAAAACAAAAAACACTTGGGAGTCTGTTCTGAGAGTAGTGCCCTATAGAGCTAGCTCTAAAAGAGAACTATGCCAAGCAACCAATTTATTTTCCTTTGCTTCAGGTTAAAGATGGGATCCACTGAAGAAGAAAGACCTGGGTCTTCAGCACCCTGTGTGCTAGCCCAGAAGTGTTATTTGAAAGCCTCTGTTACATCTGCTGCAGACCCCCTAGACAAGAGGACTTGCATTTGGACATTCTCAGCAGGAATGGTTATAGGCTGATAGGACCATAAAGCGTAGGTACTTCAACTCTCAGTGTTCTCTGTCACATGTATATGTGTCTTTTCTATTAAAAAAAGATAGGAGGGCCCTGGCTGGTTGGTTGAGCATCATCCTGTGCACCAAAAGGTTTCTAGTTGGATTCCCAGTCAGGGCACATGCCCAGGTTTTCTAACTCATCCCGAGTTGGGGTGAGAGACAGTCAATCAATGTTACTTGCTCTCTCTTCCTTTCTCTCTCTCTCTCTCTCTCTCTCTCTCTCTCTCATCAATAATACAGAAACAAAGATTATTTAAAGAAAACAACCCTTCAAAAGATAGGAGGTTTTGTGAGTTGCTGTAGTATTCCAAAATGCTAGACACACAGTAGGCACTGAGTAAAATTGAGTGGCAGTATAATTACACAGAAGCATCAGTTGATTATTAACAATTTTTATATATGTTCACATATATAAAATGAACCCTTTGGCCATGAGCTCCAGTACTTTGAAGCACTTCTTACAGGGAACAAAATGAGTGGGTCATAGATTGTTTATGGGGTATTTACAAAATATTTACTTTATACTAAGTAAATACTCGGTAAATGTGAAGTGGCCTTCATGTGGTAGAATGACACTTGCTGAAGCATGACTGGAATTTGGGAAAGGCATCACATTTGACATTAGGATTTATGTGCTAGGTTTTGTGCTATGTGGTAAGACCAAAGACCAGGCCCTTTGCACTCAGGATTTGTGAGATGAGACAAATAGAGAAGTTGCACCTTTAAATCTATAATTATTCTCCTGTAAGATGTATTTGGATCATGGAGTTTTGAGGTGGACATTAAACCTATAGAAACCTCTGACTTTATGTCTTGCTTTCTGACTACATTCCCTTAGCTAATCTCAAATGCTGCTGTTCTGAAAACATTTTACATAATTATAAAGTCTTTAACTATAGGACAACAAAGGAGTAAAATAACACTTTGATTATATCTCATTACATTCTAAAGCAAACCATCTTCTGTAGCTCTGCTTATTTCATGTTGAAGTGAAAATAGGGAGTTTTGACAGAACTGCATTTAAATCCTAGCTCTTAATAGCTAGGTGATGTTAGGAAATTTATTAAACTTCTCTGAGCCTAAAATTTTCTTATAAATAAGGGGTTGTTATAAAGTTTGGATAATATGGTTTCTATAGTTTTATCAGCTTACTTTAGTCAGACCTATCCTTCAAGGCACTACTGTTCAACAGAACTTTCTGTGATAGAAATGTTCTATATTTGTAATGTCCAATATGGTAACCATTAGCCAAATGTGGATATTAAGCAATTAAAAAGTGACTGACTGAAGAATTTTGTCTTTTAACTTAATTTTAATTTGCATGGTTGTGTGGTATAACATACTGGACAGTGCAGTTTTTAAAAATTGAGATATAAGTGATATAACATTAGTTTCCGGGGTACAACATGATTTGATATTTGTATTGCAAAATAAAATGATCATCACGATAAATCTGGTTAAGATCCATCACTACACCCAGTTATAATTTTTTTTCTTGTGATGGAGAACTACTCTCAGCAACTCTCAAACATACAATACAGTATTGTTTTAAGTGCAATTTTAAGGCTCATTCAAGACCTACCTTTTTCTTCATGAAGCGTTCCTTGCCCAATGATTCTTTACATTACTTATTGTCTCTACCACTTAGTTGGTACTTACCATGGACATTAATTTTCATGAATCTTATCTCTCCAATTAGATTGTCTTTGAGGTTATGAAGTTTTAAATCTTTACATTGCTGCATGAAAAGGAACATAGAAAAATATACTTGTGCTGAAACCGGTTTGGCTCAGTGGATAGAGCGTCGGCCTGCGGACTGAAAGGTCCCAGGTTCGATTCCGGTCAAGGGCATGTACCTGGGTTGGGGGATGTGCAGGAGGCAGCTGGTCGATGTTTCTCTCTCATCGATGTTTCTGACTCTCTATCTCTCTCCCTTCCTCTCTGTAAAAAATCAATAAAATATATTTAAAAAAAAAAAGAAAAATATACTTGTAATATTTTTAGTTAATAAGTTTTAAATAATTAAATGTAAGAGAAAAAATTTTCTAGTTAGTAAATGAGGTGAAGAATAGGGAATAGTCTGAAAGTTGCCTGCAGCCATGAACTTATTGTCTAGTATGCTTCACCTGAAAATTCAGATTACACTCAAGCTCTGGAAGAGGAAATGAGTTTCTTATATTGCCATCTTGTGGCCAACTTGGGCTCCAAGGGATGGGAATTCAATTTTGCTTTGTCAAGGGAAGGTTTATTGTGATAAAAAGTTTACTAATAGTAACGGCTAAATATAATCTATATTGGCTCAAATGAAATTGAAACATGATTTAGAAAACTATTTTGGATTACCTTCTCATTTACCTGAATCTTAGCTTTCCTCCCTTTAAAAGAATTTTTTAAAGGGAGTTTTGTAAATGTAATGACTGGTTACATGTGTTCTGCAGTCACACACCCACAGGGTTGAGAAGCTGACAGTAACCCATGTCATTTTTACTTCATCTCCCTGCATTTGTTCCCATGACTGCCAAGCTCTCAGCCAGCACACGGCTCTTGTTTTGCATACCTGTTTTCTTATTGAGAGACTGTTGACTATTATAAACTTTCAGAGGATGGTTAGACTTATTTTATAGTTTTACCCAAACTTTGAGCATTTGATGACATCCTGCAAATAGATGGGTCAATTTATAATGGTGAATGGAGATTTAAGTAAAAGAATGAGCAGTTTTCCTTGATGTAATTTTCTTGGATGCTGTATGGGTGTGATTTGGTGTGGAGTAGGCTGGTACATTCAAGTCTTGTATTTGTAACCTTTGTGTATTTTTTTAATTTTCCAGAGATGATGCTAGATAGTTGATAGATCCTATAGTTCAACTTCATCCTAGTTAGAAGCTGGATTCATCTGACATCAGAGGTAAGTGTGAAAGAAAAATCTTCATTTTTATCTCATTTGGATTTCCAATCACCCAGCAAGTTTTGGGGCTCAGTGTTCTTAGTGGCTGAAATTTGATAGTTGAAAAGGCCTTAGTTCTAACCTCAACAATGTTTTCCTGCTTTAGGGACAAGGAGCTGGTGTTGGTTTTCCCCTTCACCAGTCATTTACAGTTTGCCATGATGAAATGCATGTTAAGTCCGTGTTTCAGCTGATTATCCTGATTAAACACATGCTCTGAGCAGACTAAAGCTAGGGCAAACACCTGGAATTGAATTCTGCTTCTTGGGATACTTACTGGGATCTATCCCATGATCCCAAGTAATTCCTAAATCTTTATGAATTTGATACTACAATACTTCATTGTGCTATGATCTCTTGACCAAAAAAATCTCTCTGAGATAGAGAGAAATAAGATCAAGAATTTTTCATTAGCTGGTTGGATGTCATCCCCTGCACTGAAAGGTTGTCAGTTTGATTCTGGTCAGGGCACATGTCCAGGTCTCTGGATCCAGGTGTGGGGTGTGCAGGAGCAGCCCATCAATGTTTCCCTCTCACATTGATGTTTCTCTCTCTTCCTCTCCTTCCCTCACTCTGTAAAATATCAATTTAAAAAAAACCTTAAAAAAAGAATTTTTAATCTAAAAATTCAAACAGTAGAGAAAAAGCACTGATAACTGGTATAATTCTATCAACCACTTAGCAGTTTTTAACTAATCACTATTTTACTAGCCTATAAGATTAAGAGAATCCATGTGTTGGTTAAATCAATTTTGTCAAGATCATATAATGCAACACTATACAGTCACTTAAAAGTTATAGTACAGGTTTATTTTTCTTGAAATGGAAGGGTATTTATAATACATTAAGTTAAAAACAAGTTACAGAACAATACATATAATCCTTTTCTGCTTAAAATGTTTGTATGTACTTACTGAGAAATCATCTGAAAGGATATACTCAAATACTAGGGATTATTGTCTCTAGAATTGGGTTCTATGGGTGATCTTCTTAGCCTGTATTTTCTGACTTTATTATATTTATGTGCTATATAATTTAAAAAGTTACTTTTAAGCAACCTATATAAGACAGGCTTGTATTTTTTACCTGTACCTGCATGTTTCAGCAAGGAAAGGGGGGTTCACATAAGGGTAAAAAATAGGAACTACAGATAATTCAAACTAACAGAAGCTCTTACAGTACTGCTTTAGCTTTGGGCTATGTCTTTTGCAGAAATGAAATTTAAGGAGACCAAAACTAGATCTGAGTTTCTTTATAGAAACTTCTTTTCCAGCCTTGAAACTCTTGGATGCTGAGTCCTGGATATGCAATAGATGACGACAACATTTTCCTTTTATGGTAAGGATTCTGCTGAAATTGAGAAGCTTTGACATACATGTGAATCTTTGAAAATTCAGCATTGTGACAAGGCTAGTTGTTATAAGGTGCTACAAGTTTAATTTTTAAAAAAAGTCAATTAAAGATGTTGAGAGGTAGCATAATATAGTAGTTATATATGGGTTCTGGAGTCAGACTAGGTTCAAATCCTTCCTCTATCACTTAACCAGCTATGTAACCTTGGCAAGTTTCTTAATATCTCAGTGTGTGTCTTTATATCTTAGAAGAAGATATTCCTAGTATCTGACTCAAATGAATAGTGCTTGACTTTGAAGATTAAATTAGATAAGTGTGGGGCTTAGAACATTGTTAAGCATATGGTAAATGCTCAGTAGATGCTAGATATTTTATCAATGCCCATGTGTACATTTATCTTAGACTTTGCATTACCTGGCAATTTCTTATCTACACTAATAAAAGAGAAACATGGTAATTAGCGTACGACCGCTACCCTTTTCATTGGCTAATCAGTGAGTATATGCAAATTAACTGTCAGCCAAGATGGCGGCCTGCAGCCAGGCAGCTGGAAGCAAACATGAGGCTTGCTTGCTGCAGTGAAGGAGGACTCCAACGTTCCCCGCCTGCCTTGCTGGCCTCTGAGCCGGCAGTTTGAAACTTTGTAACAAATATAGAAGCTAAACAAAACCCCGGGATCTCAGAGCTGGAGTTATACATTGTTTCGATTATAGAACGCAAACAAACCAGATACGAAGCCTCAGAGCTAGAGCCAGAGTTAAAGCTGGCCCAGAATAAAATTTAAAAAAGAGAAAAAAAAGGAGCGGTTGGGAGCTTCAGTCAATAACCGCCAGCCTGAAAGCAGCCCTCAGCCCCTCACCCAGACTGGCCAGGCACCCCAGTGGGGACCCCCACCCTGAAGGGTGTGTGACCAGCTGCAAACAGCCATCATCCCCTCATCCAGGCTGGCCAGGCACCCCAGTGGGGACCCCCACCCTGATCCAGGACACCCTTCAGGGCAAACCAGCCGGCCCCCAGGCCTCTATCCTATATAGTAAAAGGGTAATATGCCTCCCAGCACCGGGATCAGCGGAGCCTCGAGGCCTCCCGGCACCGGATCAGCGTGACTGGGGGCAGCACCCAAACCCCCTGATCACCCTGCGACTCTGTGTGTGACAGGGTGCGGCGTCCCAACCCCCTGATCGGCCCTGCTCTGTGTGTGACAGGGTGCAGCGCGCAACCCCCCCCCCCCCCCCACAGGGCCTGTTTTGTGTGTGAAAGGGTAGAACCCTAACCTCCCCATCGGCCCTGCCCTGAGTGTGACAGTGGCGGCGGCCCAACCCCCTGATCGGCCCTGCTCTGTGGGTGAGAAGAGGGCAGCGCCCACCCCCCCCTTCCCCCACAGGCCCTGCTCTGTGTGTGATGGGGTAGAAGCATAACCTCCCCATTGGCCCTGCCCTGAGTGTGAAGGTGGTGGCGCCCAACCCCCCTGAATCCCCCTGCTCTGTGTGTGACATGGGGCGTGCCCTAACTCCCTTATTGGGCCCTGCTTCGGGCGTGACAGGGGGCAGTGGCCAAACCCCCCTAATGAGCCCTGCCCTGATCATGACGAGAGGTTGTCGCCCCACCCTCTCACATCGACTCCAGCCTTGAGTGAGAAGAGGGAGGTCACCACAAACCCCATAGATCCGTCCTGTGCTCAGTCAGGTTGACAGAGGAGGGAGTCGCCTAAAACTCCCC